TTGGGGCCTAGCCAACATGCAGGTGACAGTGTCTTTGTTTTTATCCAAGCTGCTCGCCGGCGCGCTCTTTCCCAGTAGTCCCGTTGCCCTCCTGTCTTGCATGACCTTTGGTCACCAGTTTGTCGAGCAGAACATCAGTCTCATCTGTGACTGTAAGTTCGGATTCTACACGAAGATCCTCGACTGTGAGATGTTCTCGTATCAGGTGTACGGTACCGTGCTTAGACCCTTTATTAACTACGGCGTCATACGCATTACGTTGGCAATATTAGCAAAGACATCTTAACCTTGCACGGGGGAGCAATTCATTGCTGACTGACTCTAATGAAGAAATCTACTACTGCTTGCTTGTTTTCAGGGGCGTGATGGGTCCCGAGGTTATTATTGCCAAGGCGTCAACGTACAGCTGGATCTATTACGCCTCTACCACCGGCTCCCATCCTCGTCATTGCTGCACATGTGCTCTAACGGTATAAGCCCCACTGGGTTCTAGAGATGCACCCCAATCCTGTCATCATCATGTACGGTGCGACCGTGTAGCCCTAGACCGTGCAAAACTTCACATCTCCGGTTGCCTCGCTCTTCTTCACGGGGGACATGCTTCGAAGACGTCCCGTTGTATACGTGAATACAACTACGCTGTCGGCGCTGGTCTGGACTGTGGCACGCAGTTGTGCCAGACCATTGTCTTTTTCGATATTAACCTGACCGATTCATCCTTCCCATAGCGGTGGGACAACTGTTTGTTTCTTCTCGTTAGGGGCAGTTGCGCCCTCTTCTCTCGCAGAACCTGTTTACTGACAACTGTCGCTTCTCAAGGCCAATCCAATATTCAGATTGATGCTACCATCCACCCTGCCACACTGAACTAATTAAAGCCGCCAAGGCGCCTATGGGTTCGAGTTTGAGAGCTGATGTAAACCGAGAGCGACATACTCGGCGAGCACTGGTACTTAGAAGGGACAGGATACTTAATTATGTTCACTTTATTGTGAGGTTGTTGCAGTTGTGTGACATAATAATGGAAGAACCTCGTGAGATGTAGGAAACACACCCCCATAGGTCACGTGTTAGTCTCTAGATATGTGGCCTTGCCCCTGATATACCTCGCCTAACTTTATCCCACATATGAATTATATTCGCCGTCTTCCGTGGAGACGACGTCCCATAATCGTACAACAAAAAACTCGGATCATGTGACAAAAGTGACTAAAATAGGTCATGTGATCAATCCGCCAGGAACGCGGGCGATTGTCCGTGCGTCAAAAAAGTGAGGTTGTAAAAATGTATCGCGAAGAATATCGTTAAAATGACTACGTTTTGTATTAAATAAAAGAAAATTATTTTTATATTATAAATATATTAATTACGTGTTATTTTTTAATACCCTTTTTTATTTTTTCCGATTTTTTTTTATAAAAGTAGTGTAATAACCGAAGTATAATAATTTTAAATTAAAATTATACTTTTTCGATATTATAATATTACTTTTTATTATTTTAATCGTATTTAATGTTTTTTTATATATTTTAAGGTTAAAAAAACGTTTTTATTATAATATTTATTATTATATTTTTATAAGACTATAAGTATTTAAAGTAAAAAAATTATTATTATATTATTAATTACTTATTATTTATATTATTAAAACTTTTATTTATAAATAAGTAGTAAAATATCGTTAAAGAATATTTACGTATATTTTAAGTATAAAGTATCGTATACCGTTTTTATAAACTATCGATATCGTCGATTAACCGTATAAAAAAACGTAAAAGTATATTTAAACCGTTAATAAACCTCGTATTTTATTATACCTTTTATTTTTAAATTAAAAAAAAAACGTTTAATATAATCTTTAATATTACGGTCTTATTTATTAGTAACCTCGTCTTTTAAATCGTTTAAGTTAATATTAATAATAAAGATACTCGACGTATTATTAAAAGTCTTTTTACTTACCCTTTATATATTTATAACGTTAACTTATTTTACTACTTATAATAGTTTATATTTTAACTTTAAAAGAAACTATTCGTAACTTTAAAAAGGATACGTTTTATATCTTTATATATTATTAAAGAAGTATATATTATTAATTAAAGGTTTAAAGTAATAAAAGATATACTTATAAAAAAGGAAACGGTTTATTAAAAAAGTAAGGTAACCGTATACTTAATACCGTAAGTTTATATAATATTATTAAATAGTTATAAGATTTATAAACCGTTAAATTACCGTCTTTTATTACTTTTTAAAGGTTTTACGTTAACTTATACGAGTAATATAATAGTTTTTTTTAAGTATTATATATATTTACTTAATTACGTTAAAAATATATACGTAATTAAAACTTATATTACTAAGTCGATACGTGGTCGATTAAAACGATATAAAAAGTCGTGTTTAATCCGACGTTAATAAAACTCGATAATTATAATCGTTTTTAAAATAAAAATCTTTACGACGTTTATAAAATAAGTTTATAAAGACTAATAATCTTACTTATACTAATTAAAATATATATAAGTTTAAAGTTTAAAGTAGTTATAAGTTCGATATTACCCGTATATCTCGTTTACGTATACTTTATAAATAAACTTTACGTTATAACGAGTCTCGTTACCGTTTAGTATTAACAAGTATACGTTAAAGTAACGTATAAATATTTTAAATATAGTCTTTTTTTCGTTTAAAAATAAAGACTTTAACGAGGTGTTTTTTAGTGTATTAATAGTACGTTACGTGTAATTATATATCCTTTTACGATATAGTCTTTTAAGTCGTCGTATTAATAAAAATCTTTAATAAAGTTTTAAACTAAAAACGAGTTATAAAACCTTAAAAGAGTAGTATTATAATAAACTTATTATTTTAATATTTATTAACCTTATTTTTATTATACGTTTTATATATTAAGTATATAATTATACTTTAATAACCGGAAAAACGTAACGAATAACCGTAATTTTAAACTAATCTTTATTATAATTAAAAAACGAAGGTGTAAAACTACTATTTCGTATAAAAGTTAAAAAAGAGATTATCGTAACCCCCGTAACGTTAACGTCGGTCTTTTTAACGTTAAACGTTATTTTTATTATTTCGAAGAAAAGGTATACGAAAAAAACGTTAGTTCCGTTAACCTTTATAAAAATAATAAATAAATTTATACTAACGTTATTTATACCGAAGGTAGTGTCGATAAAAAACTCTTTTATAATAAAAGTAAACGGTTATATTATTTCTTTATAAAAAAAACAAACTCTTTTATATTATTATAAACGTACTCTTTAAAAGTAAATTTATCGGTTTTTTTTAATAAAAGTAATAATATAAAGACGTATTAATCTTAATTTTACACTTAAAGATTTTTATTAACCTTCCTTTACTAATAATAAACTTAAAAAAAGATTACACGGTTTACGTTAAACACTTTACTAGTAATAAGGTTATAATAAATCTTTATAAAAGTATAAGAGTTAAACCGTATATCGATATACTTTAAGACTTTTAACTTAAGATTAATATTTATATATATCTTATAGTAACGGTGACGGAGAGAGAGTATAAACGTATACTCGATATAATACACTTTAATCGTTAAACGATTATTATAATCGTAACGTTTAAAGTTTCTTTTATTTCGTTAACTTTCGTTTTTATTTTTTTATTTTATATTTATATTTTAATAATAATAAAAATAAAACGTAAATAAAATATAAGTTTTATAAGTTATTTTTAAAAAAAACGATAACTATTAGTTTATTAAATAGTATCGATTAAAGTTAAAATAATTTACGAGATATCGTTTTCGAGTACCTTTTTTTTTTCTTTTAAATTTTATTAATTTAATAAAAAAAAGGGAAAAGGATAAATAAACGGTCGATAATAAATAATATATTAATAAACGTAGGTTTATTATCCTTTTAATTATATTAATTATAAAGAAAATAAAAAAGAAATAAATAATTAAGTAAAAAGAGTATATTAATAACTTTTACGTTTATAACTTTTAATAAAAAACCTTTTAAACGTTTAATTTAAAAGTAAAACGTTTTTTTTATACTTTATATAAGTCCTTTTTTACTTACTATTTTATAAAAACCCGAATTCGGTAATATCTCGTATTATTTAACATTTCGAATAATACTTTTTAATAAGGTTACCGAAAAAAGGGTCGAGAGATAAAAAAGAAGAGTCGAGAGATAAAAAGGGAGGGTTTAAAAGTAAAAGGAAAGGGTCGAGAGATAAAAAGGGGTCGAGAGACGGTTAAGGTTTTAAAAAGGTACCGATTTTTAACGATGGTAAAACGTTATAATATCTTAAAAAAGAAAAGAAAAGTTAACTATATATATAAAAAAACGGTCGAAAAGATAATATAAAAATAATCTACATACCGTCTTTTATAGTGGTTCAATTGTCGAAAAACGATAAGGGTAAAAGAACGTACAGATTATGTAAACGGAGGATTATAGTGATGGATACGGGTAAAAGTAAACAAAAAAGAGGGCGCGGCGCGTTTTCGACGTGGTCACGAGAAAAGCGGACCCGCTAGTCCCTAAAAGGATGGCGTTTTAGTCACATGATCCGAGTTTTTTGTTGTACGATTATGGTTCATGGTGGAGACCTCATATACACGTGACATATCACCCGATGACATTTTTAAGGCAGTGTCAAATCTCCCATGCTCGCAATAGCCTAGCTGTTTGGGGATTAGCCCATATACAGCGGTGGTGATCGGCCTGGAACTGTTGCCCCTTAACGCCCCTGTAATTAGACGCGACCGCGTAAATCTTTTGTTCTTCCTCTGGCTTTGCCAACTCATGTACTACGTCCATTCACCCACCGTTGAACGGACAATTACCAGTACTTTTTCTTGTCTGCGACAATATCACAACCTTTTTTGTTTTGCTCGTCGCGCACGCTTACGTTATAAGTTCTTTCAAGTGCTGCAACTGCCTCTTATCCTCTTCCAATTGACAATACCAGGCTACGCAATGGACTTCTACGAACTTCCTGGCCAGATGACGGTCTGGCTTGATGCTGCATCCAACACTTTCCAGAGAGTTCCTGGGTCTGCTGTCCTGATCCGATACGTCCGCTCTAGCTACCAGAACGACCCCGTCCGCTCAGCTATTGAGCTAATTCTCGTCATTTTCTTTATACGCTATCTCCTGTCCCCTTCGTACTCGACCTCTAAGCAGAACTTTATCAAGCTTAGCGAAGAAGTAAGCACACCTTCGACTGGCGACGACAATTCCTTCCTTGTCAAACCATTGTGCCGTCCTCTCTCCCTCCCCGGCTACCTACACGCGCTGACCATTGCATAACTCTGTCTAGGAAATTGACGAACTTGTCGACGAATGGACGCCCGAACCTTTGGTCGCTCCTTTGACCCCTCTCGAGGAGATGGAGACAGAGTCTCTTCCTGTTGTTGTCGGGTAAGACATCTTTCGACGCGGCTGGCAGACTTCGTATCCCTCCGTGGTCCTATGCTGACTGGTTGCTTTACATTAAGTCCGACCGGCCCCAAGTGCAAACTGTCTAACGGACGCACGGTCGCCAACTTGGCTTCTTCCAACTTTTACAACTTCAATGCCAACGAGATCATCAAGGAGAAGGCCATCCAGACGCTTCGAACATATGGCGTGGGCCCCTGTGGCCCGCCACAGTTTTACGGCACCCAGGACGTTCACATGAAGACCGAGGCAGATATTGCTGCCTATCTTGGCACGGGCGGTTGTATTGTGTACGCCCAGGCCTTCTCGACCATTTCCAGCGTGATCCCGGCTTTCTGCAAACGTGGCGACGTCATTGTGGCCGACCGTGCTGTCAACTACGCCATCCGAAAGGGCCTGCAGATCTCCCGCAGTAACATTCGCTGGTACAATCACGGCGATATGGAAGACCTCGAATCCCAAATGAAGAAAATCACTCTGGAGCAGGCCCGCAAGAAGAAGCTGACACGCCGATTCATTGTGACGGAGGCTCTTTTCGAGAATATTGGAGATGCCACAGATCTTCCAAAGCTTGTAAGAAATTTTGCTCACCTTTGCACCCCTCTCAAATGATCTTGTGGTATTAATTGGCCGCTTAATCCGACTAACAACTTCGCTTTCATACATAGATTGAGCTCAAGGAGAAGTACAAGTTTCGCATCATCCTCGATGAAACTTGGTCTTTCGGGGTACTTGGCCGTACCGGTCGTGGTTTGACCGAAGCCCAAAATGTGGATCCCTCGCAGATCGACATGATTGTTGGGTCTTTGGCTGGGCCTCTTTGCGCTGGGGGTGGCTTTTGTGCTGGTGAAAGGGATGTTGTAGAGCACCAACGAATCACGGCTGCCGCATACACATACTCTGCGGCCCTGCCGGCACTTTTGGCCACAACTGCGAGCGAGTCCATCAGCCTGCTTCAATCTAGCCCCGAAATCTTGCAACAGTGCCGAGAAAATATCAAGGCAATGAAAGCGCAGCTTGATCCCCGGAGCGACTGGGTCACGTGCACAAGCGCCCCTGAAAATCCGGTCATGCTTCTAGTTCTGAAACCTGACGTTGTTCGGAGCAGGAGACTCACCGTGGAAGACCAGGAAAGACTGCTACAGGAGTGTGTGGAGGAGGTAAGTTACAATTCTTTGGCTCACTGGAAAGTATGGTATTGGGTTGAACTTCATTCAGAACGCTAACTTCTCAGTCGCTTACCAATGGTGTGTTGATTACAAGACTGAAGACCCAACCCATAACCAGTGGCATGACTTCGGCCGAGCTCACTGAGTGGCCCGTTTCGCCTGCGCTCAAGGTTTGTGTTACTTCAGGCTTGTCCAAGAAGGATATCGAGAAAGCTGGAGTGACGATTCGCCATGCTATCACTAAGGTTATGTCACGCAGAGCAAGCAGCAAACTTGGCCTGCCAGTCGCCGCGTAAGTTGCGGGCGGTAGAAATAGAATGAGGTCGGGCCAGCGCATACGCAACGTGTTGGTTGTGGTTATGCTCGCTGCGAATGTGGCGTTTTTATACTCCATGGGTGGAGAAGACGTTCAAACTGCTCGTTATTTTTACGTCGACCCATGAGCTGTAGTTTGTACTAATAAGGTTTCAATGCGTGGGTTGGGCATCGGCGTTGACTCGCCGGAGGTCACACTTTCATCACCCATTGCTGTTTTTTCTTCCATACATATATATACATAGATAGACTGGCAAGGTGCAAGACGGACAGCTCGCAACTTAATATCCAAAGCACGTTGCGAGTACAATTAATGTTAATATTCTGCACAAGATAAGCTTGTATACCGTGTGCTATTGACCACCTTTTAAAGACACATAATACTTTGTCCTGGTGGTCTTCTAATGGTACGTAAGTATTCTTGTCGAGTATAAGCAAGACCTGGTTTTTACTACGAAGCTATCGCGGTACCAACATATTAAACGAAAATTGGCAGAGCTCATTTTGTATTGTGGCTATGGTGCTTAAAGAGAGAAAAGTCTAAAATCCCGCGTACTATTATGCTGCATCTTCTCCATTGAAAAATACATTTGAGGTAAAACAGACGAGAAGACAAAGTTGAGCAGAAACGTGGACTTCAGAAAGCAGACGTAATGGAAAGAATGGAAAGAAGGACAAACAGTGTTTAAAAAACCATGTAAGAAACGACACAAAGCACAAGAGAGCAAACTTGACGAACGCCTCTGAGGCCCTTCAAAAGCAGAAAATACAACACGCGAAACAAAAAAAAACCACCGAAAAACGCAAATCTCAAAGTAGGACAGGAAAGCAGCCAAGCTTTAACAACATACTGACGATAGCCAGACTCTTTACACTTGCCAAATCGTATCTAAGCCCAAGCAGATTCAACGCAACTAGAATACTTAGAAAAGACGAATCTTAGCCCCGGCAGAAGCTGACGAAGCAGCAGAACCAGTGACAGTTGCCAGAGCGCCACTGTAGCCAGGCGCACCGGTGCCAGTCTGAGTATGACCCTCAGTATCGTTATTATTTTGGTTGTCAGGCTGCATGAGGTTTGTCGAGTTCAATTGTTTGGTGATGCTCGAGGGAATCTTATCACCGGCGACAATGGGGGCGACAATGAGAGCGACAAAGATAACAAACATCACGAAGTAAAGAATGGCGTATCGAATGACACGTCTTCTCCGGAGCTTCGATTGCTTCATAGAGTAGATAGGCGGGCGAATTTGCCGACTATTTCAATATTAGCATGACGTTTCAAAATGATGTGCATCTGTGACAAAACATACCTGGGTCGCAGCCAGAAGAGCATCATGGAATGCAGCTTGTCAATCTGAGGGACGAGGATGACAGGCAGCATAATGAACAAAAGAATGTGGCCTAGCACGAAGTCACCAGCAAACATGGAAAGTTCTGTGATCTTGCACAAGTACTCACGAGCGGGTTGAGACACGGAGTGCCAGCCCATGGAGTACCACTTGCCCGTCCAGAATGCGATGTTCGACTGGTCGCTCTTGAATTCTCTGGTCAGAGCAAGAGAGATAATCAGCTTCGTGATGAAACGCTGGATGGCAACGACGGTGATCATGCCCAAAAGTGTCCGGGCAAAGTTGAATCCTTCCAAAAAGAACATGACCTCGAAGAAGATCAACAACATGACCACCGCAACACCATGGGCAATAGCCGCCAATACACTACCAAATTTCTTGCAGCACATGCTCAGAATTGGGCCCATGCAACAGGCCATAGCAAACATAGCAGCGAGGGTGCCAGCATTGACAGCAATAGGCGCAAATGCCACGATGGCCACACGCAGGAGAGAAGCAGTAGCTTTCGCGTCTGGGTTGTGCTTCAAGACGCCTGTCTGTGCGTTGATATAAAGGTAAGGAATCAGACACACAACGACGAGCAGCAACGGGGTGAGGATCTCGCTGAAGAAAATGTTCGTGATTGCTGCGCGGGGAACGTCGGCGGACAATTTGCCAGACGGGTCGCCAGCTGTCTTCCTCTTGTAACCAGTAATGCGTGTACGTGACAAGCGGCTGTAGGCAATCCATGACGACGCATGAGAACGAGAGTTACCGCGGGACAACCAGCGAAGGAAATCGCGGTAGTCGATGAAGAAGTCGTTCCAGGCAAACTGATGCGGGTTGTACAAGAAGGGCGACACGATCAGCGCAAGTAATGAGATCCAGAAGTATGTCAGAGCTGCTTGCCAAATTGTGACAGTAGCAAATAGAAGCATCATCAACAGACGAGCGCCGAAGTAGATGGATGGTCCAGCAAACCGGCAGAAAAGCACACCGAATGGAATACGTGCAGTTGCAAAGCCTCGGCCAGTACCGATGTAACGGGCACCACCAAAGGACAAGTCCTGTTGAACAGAATTGGCGTAGATCTGGCAAACGAAGACCTCGAAAAATGGCGAGAAAGAGAAGAACTGCTTTAGGAAACGGGTCACAGCGCGCAAGACTCCACGCTCCGTTAGCTCCTGGACAATGAGAGGGACATAGGACAAGAAGAAGACAAAGAAAATCGACAGAATACAGCGATAAACCCAGTCGTCAAGGGCATCGGTGTTCTGGCAACCGGTGGGGAAGAGCGGATCGGTGATAGGCACGTTGGTGTTGTACTCGCAAGGGATCGTCTCGTGGCGCAGTGCACCAAGGTTGATCAGGCATATCATGAACATCTGAACCGACAGCATGATGAACATGTTGTTCAAGTGAAAGCCAGGGTGGGCGTAGTAGAAAGACAAGAACCGATCTAGCGGCAGTTGTGTACCGAGGTAGTAGTATTCGCGGGACAACATCTGCTCACCCATGCCAGTACCAATCTTCGTAGTGAAGTTCAGAATAGAACCAAAACCAAGGTCACGACCCTTGCCACACTGGTAGTACTCGCAGTGCTTGATGCGACCACCACGTAGAAGAGCGTTCATGCCGGCATAAATGTCTTCGTTGAGATGAAGACCTTTCTGGGCCTTTGAGACACCACCACGCGTAGTCATGAAGATGCCATTGAGAAAATCGGGATGACCGTAGTGCAGCTTGCCACCGATCTGAGCCAGTGTACGAGCGAAAAGCGTACCGAATGTTTGCTCCTTGCCAGCAGCGACATCACCAAGAATACCGATGTTCTCAGAGAAAATGTACTCGCGAGCACCGAGAATAGCGACCGGGGCAGCAACCGGGTTTTTAACACCAGGTGTATAGGGAGAAACATTTTCAGTCTTCATCTCTTCGAACTCGGCCAGTACACTGCGGATTTTGAGACACTCTTCGAGGTAATTGTCTTGGTTGGCATCGATCAGCTGAATATACTCGCCACGGTAGAAGATCAGAGAGTGGTTCTGGTTGTCTGATTTGCCATCGCCAAGAATAGGATTACCGGACAGCTGGATACGAAACTTCGGGCGACGCATGCCGTTTTCCATAATTTCCGAATGGCCGTCAACGAGAGCAGAGTAGAGGCGGGGTTCCTCGCCTTCGCCGACAGGCGGCTCCTCGTCAAGATATGCAATTTGAAGATCTGGGTAGGCGCGTAGTAGAAACTCGGCGTTCTCCATTTCTTCCTTCTTGAACTTGGCATAACGCTGCATAGAGACGATCAATTTGAACTTGCGGCGAGCCATGCGTTCAAGCTCACGCTCCAGCTTATCAGAGTTGCCACCAAACATTTGAACAACCTCTGGATTCTCTACACGGTAGAGAAGCTTGATAGCACGGCTGTAGTTCATGAAGCCAGAAACGGTGCGGTACAAAGTTTGTGTCCGAAGGGAGGCCCAAATGCGTGTGCGTAGGGTGTATTCTGGGGCGGATGACTTGAAACCAATGCAGTAAAACGGAAGATCATCTATCTTGCTCTTTGCGCTGTCCTTCTCGTTCTTCTCTTGGTCGCTGCCACCATTAAATTGAGACGTCTCGTCAGCAAGAATCTTCGTGTCCTTGACAAAGCAATCCCATTCGTGCGGGTGGAGTTGTTTTAGATATTCGAGCTGGGTGACTCGGGAATAAGGCTCGTCTTCGCGAATAATCTCACGCAACGACAGCAGAATCTTTTCACTGTAATGGGGGATGAGAACAGTGAAAGTCGGCATGTTATCAACAGGAAGCGGTTCAGGGATCGGAGTCGACAGCGATTGGGCGAAAAAGGAAATACGGCGCTCAGCCTCACTATGTGAGGGAAAGAACTCCGTCTTGAACGAATGATCCTCCTGTGACACGAAGAAAGTAGGCGCGCGCAAGGTCCGCTTGCCCTCCTGCTCTGAAGGAACCTGGTGGTACAGAAGCTTCTGAACGTGGTCGATAGCCAGCAAATGCTCGCGGTACATGGAGATAACAATGGCGTTCCAGATTTGAGAGATGAGAACCTTTGGCTTGTACTTGATTTCCATGTCGGTAGTAGCCAGGATCTTCGAGTAAATGCGCTTGGGCAGGCGGGAGAAGATGTTGCGCCAAGGTGTCCAGATCGATGAACCAAGATAGAAAGATCGGGCAATAGAAAAGGCCGTGTTGAACAGGACGTACCACAAGAACGTATCCAAAAAGAAAAAGATCAAGTTCGTGAAACCCATGAGCCCAAGCAAAATCTGAGGTTGGTATTTGCAGAGGTACTGTTTCAAAATTGTGTCTCCGAGGCAGCTGTCGACATTCATGATGGCAAGATAACGAATCGAATCACGGAATGCACGTGTAAGATACACGTAAGACTCGCCCATCTTGGCACCAAAAACACAGGCCCAGAGAAAATACGACAGAAGCATGTCGTTGCCCTTAAGGCGAGGGTAACTGGCGGTGAACGTTTGGCTGGCGACGTAACGACGCGAGTTTTTGGTCAAATAGCTACCAAAAAGGCCGCCAAGGGGCATAATCGCGAAAAAGAGAAACGTAATGACAGCAACAAAAAACTGAACAATGCCAAGAATAAGCGCTGGTTTGCTCTCCTGTTTCTTCGTATA